CAAGATTGTTCTCTGCTGAACATGTACGAGTGCTTTGTTCAGTCTAGATTTAAACGTATGTCTTGAGCAACAGGCTTTCTGCCACTCTTCTTTAATAGCGGAAGGAAAATGCAAATTAAATTCATACTCTTTAGTTATGCAGATCCATGGATTTCCAGCTAGCTGTCAATTTTATTAAATTTTATACTATTTCTCAGTCTGATGTAGAATCAGCCATAGAAGTAGTGGTCTTCAGGGCAGTGCTCCAAGCTGACTCAGACATCTGGGGTGAACTCTTGGCCCTGCAAAGTCAATGGCAGTTCTTTTGGTTTCAGAGGGGCCAGGATTTCACCCCTGAAATCTGATTTTACTATTCCAAGCAATTGTGGTTAACTGTGGATCGTACTTGAATTTGCTAGGGCTATATATACTCATACTATAGCTGAGAAAATTTGTCAAATAGCAGTACTGTTTCATTTGCTTTGTGTTAATACAGATTACATATATATTATATAAATAAGATTACAATAAAAATTGAAAATATTGACAAGGGTTCTTATGAATAGCATTCTTTTCTCATAGGTTGGCCACTTTTTTAAACCGGACATCCCCTATCTTGGCTGGTAAGCTCTGGAGAGTGGACTTGAGGGGGAGATAGTGCTTGTTTTTACTCTCACAACCTATAGGTGTCATCATTTGGAGTGACAGATATATCTGAAATCCCAGAGAGATGATTCTCATATCTTTACATTTGACTTGTAACTAAGCTTTCTGTCTACCAGATTTTGTTATCCAGTCAGAAGGGCTTTTTCTATATTATCCACTTTTATTTTCCAGGTTTGGTTCTTATAGATCAATATGCACTCCAGTTCTCTCTGTACTGTGCAAAGGAGTTCATTTACCATAAGGTCCATCTTAAAGGCATGCTGCCAAAAAGCCTCTATTAGACTAATCTGTTTACTCTGCATTCTCTTGGAAAGCCTGAATTGCAATCCCAGGCCCCCTGTTTTAAGTCTGACAAGCCTGTGAGTTTCTCTTTTGTGGTATAACCTGGGAGATCCATTAAAGGTTTCCAGTTGCATCATAAGAACAAGAGTTGAAACAGTATATGATATGTCATCTGTAAAAGAAGCCTCAGACAATTGGTGCTTCACTAGGATTTTTCTCCAATACTACCTTATTTCCAAAGATTTCAGAGACACTGCATGTGCGCTCTTGGGATGTGACCAACTTGCACTTAACTGGAAGTCTAATAAACTAGATTGTGCTGTACCTTAAAACTGTTTGTTTTTGTTCTGCTTCAGTGTGTGTCTGTAGATTATCATCAGTAATTTTATTGTGTTCTAGGGGTTAAGAACAGTTTTAAAAATTAGATTAATGGTTTTTACTCTGACTATAATAGTGTTTATATAAATTCATTCTCAAGGTTGCTGTTGTACTTACTGTTAGGCTGCACATAACAAATAGTGGAGACAGCCTTGGAAAAAGTTAGAATATTTTCAAGGTGATCCCTTAAGGCTTATTTTCCCTCTGTGTCTAAATGATTTACCTCATTTTAATGGTTGGTTAGATACTGAAATGTATTTTTCTCCTGTGTTGTATAAGAGTGAGTGTGTGTGTGTGAGAGAGAGAGAGAATGAATGAAGCACTGTATGGATCAAAAGACTGCTAATGATATAGAGTCTTTCACCTCCAGATCACCAGTTCAGATCCAGTCTGGGTCAATAATTTAATGCTATTGCTCTCTGATGGCTATTGGGTAGTCTGTTATTTTAAGTGTTAACTATACGCTCACCGTGGTATAAGACAGCCAAATAAAGTCAAAGAGCCCCCAAGAGTTTACATTCTTTGGGGGGTTAATTATAGATGGGGCTAGTAGCTCTGACTATTAAAGTTGCCTGACACTTCTCACTACAAGATCCTGTTTTCAGTTGTGTGTAACATTGCCATACTTTAACAGTGTGGGTTGAAATTTTTCATGCCAGATGTCTGGTTAAGGCTGAATTGTTTTGGAAAGTTTCCGCCCAAATGGCGTAGCTGTTTTTGAGACTGAGGCTATGTCTACACTAGCACTTTTGTTGATCAGGGGTGTGAGAAAAACACCCAGAGACACACAGACAAGCTACACTGACGAAAGCACTGGTGTGAACAGTGCTATGTTGTCAGGAGACACAACTGTTGCTCATTGGCACTGCTGGAGTACTGTGTCCAGTTCTGGTGTCCACAATTCCACAAGGATGTTGATAAATTGGAGAGGGTTCAGAGAAGGGCCAAGAGAATGATTAAGGGATTAGAAACCATTTCTTATAGTGATTGATTCAAGGAGCTCAATCTATTTAGTTTAACAGAGAGAAGGTTAAGGAGTGAGTCGATTAGTCTGTAAGTCTACATGGGGAACAGATATGTGATAATGGGCTCCTCAATCCAGAAGAGAAAGGTATAACATGATCCAGTGGCTGGAAGTTGAAGCAGGAGAAATTCAGACTGGAAATAAGGCATACATTTTTGATAGGGTGATTAGCCATTGGAACAATGTACCAAAGGTTGTGGTGGATTCTCCATCACTGACAGTTTTTGACTGGATGTTTTTCTAACAGATCTGCTCTACAGATTATTTTGGGGGAATTTCTATGGCCTGTTGTAGAGGAGATCAGACTGGATAATCACAATGGTCCCTTCCAGCCTTGGAATGTAGGAATTGTATTTCTGATGGCTTGGTTCATGAAAGGGAAGGTCTTAGCCAATATGTAACAATATGCTTCCAGCTACCTGGAACATAATGCCCTCTGGCCATGCTATAGGCCATAGTGCATATTCTGTAAATGTTTGCAAGTGTTTAAAGCCTGGATTTTCTGCAGAAAGGTGTAGAGAGTGGTCGAACATTGTGTACTCTAAGGACTGTCTTCACCCCGGGACGTGTCTGGTGAGGAGATTGACTCACAATCGTGTTGTGTTGTGGTTACCAGCTAACAAAAAATGCAAATACTAGGAAATAAGTAGTGGGAGAATTGTTTTGTCCTGGAAGTCACTGGCTTAGGCAATGTTACATAGGGGATCAGAGTCCTCCTTAGTTCTTGACATGCTAAAGGTGAGAACATTACTACAGAGACAGCATGTTCTAACACTTAAGGGAGCAGCCTACTGTCTGTTTCAGGAATAAGCCTAGTCTCTTGAGGTTGAAGTTCTAGCCATTGGTTGGAGATGTTTAATACTACACAAGGGCTTTGAGTTAAAAAGGAAAATGAGGAGAGGGTCATTCTGAGAAAATATTACTGTACCTTTTAGGCCCCATGAGCCTTAGTGTCTCTTTAAATATTCTGGTTTCAGAGTAACATTAAATATTCTAGCTCTTTAGTGAAGAGCATCTGTATATCTGTTTTTCCTCGGTCAGTACTCCAGAATCTTCTCACACATATAGGAAAATGTTTAGTAAACCTTGCAAGAGAGAACTTCTGACACCTCTTCATGCAACAAATAAATGCCACACTGGAAATCGCATTAGGTAATTAATCCTTGTGTAAATAGAAGGCTTGATGTGCATCTGTGGGGCTGTAGGATGCATCTCAGATGATAAATAAATTCTCTATCAGAGCCCTGAGTGAGTTATAAAGCAGTCTTTTCATGGGTAGGATGTTCATTATCTTTCAAGTGTGACCCTATGAGAAAACAAAAATATAAGCCTTCACCTTGGTAGATGATACTAAAGTGGAAGGGCAGCTGTTTGCTGATTTCTCAGGAATGTGCGTGTTAGCTGGAGAGCACTCAAATGAACACATTAAAATTACTTGGTTACAAGATAGGAACGGAGTACTTGTGGCACCTTAGAGACTAACCAATTTATTTGAGCACGAGCTTTCGTGAGCTACAGCTCACTTCATCGGGCATCCGATGAAGTGAGCTGTAGCTCACGAAAGCTCGTGCTCAAATAAATTGGTTAGTCTCTAAGGTGCCATAAGTACTCCTTTTCTTTTTGCGAATACAGACTAACACGGCTGTTACTCTGAAAGATAGGAACAATGCTACCTGCTCAGCTAGGGCAATGCATTTTCCCCCATGTGACGGTAATTTTTTCTTTTGTACATTGTAATGAAATCAAGAATCTAGTGTTGATTCTTATACATTGTAATGAAATCAAGAATCTAGTGTTGATAGAGGTAGAACTGCAGACAGGTCAGCACTTGCTGTGGGAAGACTACTTGAAAACAGTGTTGTTGCAGCTGTGTTGGTCCCAGGATATTAGAGCAACAAGGGGAAGAGGTAATATATTTTATTGGACCAACTGCTGTCAGTGAGAGAGACAAGCTTTCAGGCTACACAGAGCTTGTCTCTTTTATCAAAAGAAGTTGGTCCACTAAAATATATTACCTAACCCATCTTCTCTCTCCTTGAAATCAGGCTCTCTGGGGCTTACCTTTTTATTTGCATGGTGTATCTGAAAGGAAGTCTGAGAGCATACAAGATTTTCTGCTTTAGGGCTTCTTGTCGGAGTTTTGTGGTACACTCTAGGATATATGTAGTAGGGAATCCTGGGAGTGCTGATGAATCTGGCTGAGCAGAGGTCACCATACTTATTGTCCTGTCATTCTTCCTTTCCCTTTCCTTCAGTCCTGTAATGCAGGGCGGTGGCACAGTAGGATATGAGGGATGAAGTGTTTGGGAATGTAACTCAAACCAAAGATTTGCTTAATTCCATAGAAGGATGATGGTTGAAATCAATTAATCTCTTGCTGAATTTATTTTATTCATTTCTAGCTGATACTGCGCTAAAATTCTGCTCCCTAAGTACATAGGAATGGAAGCAGCTCTGGGATTAGCATCTGTATAACAGGGTTTTTTTGACTCAATTTAAGTTTTACAGAAAACGAAAACGAATCTCCCAGAACTGCATCACTAACTTTCTTTTTTGCCTTCTGCACAAAAGCTGTAGAACTTGGGTAGGAACAGAATGTGAAAGTAAATTAGAAGTCAAATGATTTCATAGCTTTGTATTGTTAAAAATCTCAACTCTTCTCCTCCTCTAGGTCTGGAGGGGCACACTAGCCCGCCTTCGGTATAAGAGGACAAAGGCTGCCCTCACAATAATTAAGTGCTACCGCCACTACAAAGTGAAGTCCTACATCCGTGAGGTCACCCGGCGTTTCCAAAGCGTGAGGTCCATGCGGGATTATGGAAAGCATGTGAAGTGGCCCAGCCCTCCAAAAGTGCTGCGCCGTTTCGAAGAAGCACTGCAGGCAATTTATCACAGGTACAAGGAAGACCTTTTATTTCATTCGAAATGAGGCATCGTTGGTCACAAACTAAAACATAAGAATTAACAATGGCCATTGATTCCTATGTGAATATATTTTTCATATAGTAGATCTACCGTATTCTGTAGAAGACATATTATGTATATTGTGACAAAGTCAGATTGGACAGCTGCAAGAGGGTCTTCATATTGGGTTCTGGGAGGTGAGCGGGCACAAGCCCGCCCACAGCTCAAGATAGGTGTGCGCCAGGGTCTCCCTCATGCTGCAAAAGGGACAGGCATTGGGGACAGGTGAACTGCACTAGGTACAAGCCTGCCCACGGTTAAAGGACCCTCCCCCAGCCTATGGGGAGGATCCACTGAGCCTGGGACTCAAATAATTATGAGGGTGGGGGTGGGGGAGAGACACTGAAAAACTAACAAGGATGGGTGTGTGGGTCAAAAGTAGGTAACCTGAAGGGGACACTGAGCAGAGAACCCTGGACAGCGCCCACTGCTCCTCTAAGGTGCCAAGGGAGCCAGCGGACACTGCCCAGAGGAACTCTGCCTGGATATGTGAGTGGAGAGGAACTTACCCAGCGTGCCATGGGGCCAAGGTAGAGTATAAGCTGACCCACCAGGGTGCCTCACCCTCAGCAGGTGGCATTAGGTCCTACCATTTAGTGTCAGTGCGGAACATGAGGGTGAGGAAATGGAGAGTATGGAGCACGAGTGTGTACAGATATGCCCATCGCGCAGTTTGAAAGCAAACTGGCTGCAGGTCACACAAGGTATACGGGTGGGGCAGCCAGGGAGGCTCATGGGACAGGGGCCTGATAAAAAGATCCAGAGGGCCTAGGGTATGGGGGTGGGCAGGGAACACCCTTCCGCAGGACCTGCTCGAGGTGAGCCGGAGAGGCGGGCGACAAGGCTGCCCTCATCTCCTGAAATACGAAGTGTGGAGAGCCCCATGCGCTGAGCAAGTGTCAGGGGATCCACGCAATTTCCCTGATCATAGTCCACGAGGTCTCCAATCCTGGTGTCTCCTGCCAGGACCAGCCTCTGGCGCACCTAGGGGGACTCCGCCACCTGTACACCGAGTTGGGAATTGTGTAGCAGGGGCTCCGCAAGGAGATCTACCCCATTGGCGGCTGCCACAGATCTGGTTGGCAAAACCAGCTTCCAGGTCTGGAGCACGTCCTGGTGGAAGACCAGAAGCTCAGAGATGTCTCGCGGAAGACCTCTCGGATGGAGATAGTCATAGATTCACAGATACTAAGGTCAGAAGGGACCATTATGATCATCTAGTCCAACCTACTGCACAATGCAGGCCACAGAATCTCACCCACCCACTTCTGCGATAAACCTCTCACCTGTGTCTGAGCTATTGAAGTCCTCAAATCATGGTTTAAAGACTTCAAGGTGCAGAGAATCTTCCAACAAGTGACCTGTGCCCCATGCTACAGAGGAAGGCGAAAAACCCCCAGGGCCTCTTCCAATCTGCCCTGGAGGATAATTCCTTCCCGACCCCAAATATGGCGATCAGCTGAACCCTGAGCAGCTGATAAAGGAGCTGCCGGTTGTATCGGAGCCCTCGGAAGTGGCGCAGGAAGGCATGCGCCAACATGCTCTACGCCTGACTACCTGCACCGTAAAGAGGTCTCTGCAGGGCCTGGGACAGAAGACATGGACCTGTGCAAGAGGGTCCTGGAAGGCCGATACATTAGCCCTCGAACGTTAAAGGCCCTTTTTCATACAAGCTGAGAAGGGGTTACCTCAGGTCAATCAGGGGTATCTGGATCCAATTAAGGGCTGCCTGAGGCCTTTAAAAGCCCCTCCTCTGGTGGGGGGGAGAAAAGGGGTGAGAGAGAGACAAGCTAGTGGCAGCAGGGGAATAAGCTTCTCCAGGGTGAGAGGCTGTGTTCCTTCACATAGAGGAACAACCAAACCTGAGTGCCTGCTAGGGGAAGGACTGACACCCCCTGGCAAGCAACAGGATGACACCCTGACCCAGCGAGGAGACAGGGAAAGGTATCCCTCTTTGTTTTTGTATTTACAAGACTGATTCTTTTTCGTTCAGTGAAAAATCACTCCTTAGGCCACCCTGGGGCATATCCTGAAAACACAGCTGAAGGAGCACAGAAGGAGGAAGGCAAACACTGCCCAGGGTAGGGCTGATTTACTCAAGGCCCACCATTGCCAGAGGGGGCAGTGCTAAGTCTGGTGAGATGAAGGAGGTGCCTTGCCACAATATCTATAATCTATATTTAGTACTGTCTCCCAGTATTTAGAGGCATCAGAAATCAGTGCTTTCAAACTCAGTGGTGCAATATCAACATCTGGTGCTAGTCCAACAGAGTAGAGAAATTAGCATGGCTGCATTTTGAAGAGTGACTGTAAAAATGGTGCCTCTTTATTGAACAGCTCTGCTCCCTGTATATGTTCAGAGTCAGAGCGGACTTTGGCTAAAAGGTTTTTAATAGCGTTAGCCTTGTAAAGCCAATACTACTACAGAAGCATGGGAGACAGTGTGGCCTAGTGGATAGGGCACTGCACAGAGAGTTAGGAGACCTGGATCTAATCCTAATTCTGCCATTGACCTGCTAAGTGACCTTAGATAGATCACTTCACCTCTGTGCCTCTGTTTCCCTTTCTGCACTAGTTTGGCTTGTCCAGTTAGATTGTAAACTCTTCAGTGTTGGGGCTGTCTAACCCAATCGGGTCCCAAATTTGGTTAAAGCTTTGGAGCGTTCCTGTAACACAAATAGTAAGAGTGAAGTAGACTGTGTTCCTGTTTTCACATCAACAGTTAAGCAAGTTCCAGTTGCTGGGTCAATTCTGTCATTAAAGGGAAATGGGGTAGCTGAGCCAAGAATTTGGCTTGCAGAACCTTTATTATTGGTGATGTGCTAACAGCCCAGCATGATTCTTGGATGCCAGGGCATGTTTACAGGACTAGCAGGTAGGAAAACATTTTATTCTGGAATTGGAGACGACAAATATGGAACTTTGTGATGCCATCTCTTACAAAGTCACTAAGTGTGTTGTTTGAAAAATGACTTCAGTTGAATAATGGCAGCTAGAAAAGTCTGTTTACCCCAACTCTCCCGGTGTAAATCAGGTAAGGCTCCCGATTAGTCTGGTCTTGCTATGGGGCACAGATAAACTTTGGAGTTGATTAGATGTTCTTTTTTCAGGTGGAGAGCAAATGTGCTTATCAAGAGCATCCCACCAGAAGATCTTCCTCAGCTCAGGGCTAAGGTTGCTGCCATGGAATTGTTGAAGGGTCACAGAGCAGATATTGGGCTACAAAGAGCCTGGGAGGGTAACTATATTGCATCGGTGAGTGCTGTGATAGAAATGTTCAATCTTCCGTCAGTGCAGATGAATAGGGAAGAACCTCCCTGGTGAGGCCTAAGGGAATCAGGAGGGGAGAGTCTGAAAACAGTGAGTGTTCTAAAAATTAAATGCATTCCAACTCCTCCATTAAGAAGTAGTCTGTAAACCATTTCAAAAAGGTTCCAACTTTTACTGTGCTAAGAACTATAATTTTGTAAATACCAAACCTTATTCTCATTATTCTTGGGGCCACTGTTAATCAAGATACCAATTAACATCGTCAGTTGACTCTTCCAGTGCCCAGAGATAGGATGGAAAATGCAACATGAGAATAAAATTGCAGTCGTTAGGGTGGAAGTTAGAAAATAGCATAAATGGAAGAACTAGGCAGAGGAAAATGCTTAACTGCCTCTGAGAGCGTAGTGGAAATTTCCTTATGTGTCTTCCTCAAAGGTAGCTCCCGCTTATTAGAGCCTTCCTTTTCCCTTAAGCCTTTGTTTCTAAAAGGTCCTTTAGAAAAGCATGCAAAACTCCGGATGCTGTTTTTCTGTACTGCAAGGAAATGTCTGATACACTCCCTTATCAGGAGACTTTATTACAGACTTCTTGGTGAGCTTGCCATTCCATCAGGCCTAGGTTGACGACAAAGCATGATTGCTCTGTTTGGTAATTAAGAAAAATTATGTGCCCGTCTTTGTTTACTCTTCCAGAAACCAGATAACCCTCAGACCGCAGGCTCTTTCATCCTTATTGCCAATGAGTTGAAGAGGAAGGACAAGTACATGAATGTGCTCTTCTCATGTCACGTCCGCAAGGTAAATAGAATGAGTGGTTGGAGGAGGAGGAGAGAAATCTACAGAAAGTCAAAAGCTAGGCTGGGAACAGAAATGCCACAGACTGATTTTCTTGTGGCTGAAGTGAAGTTTTCTGATGCTAAGGATGAGGAGAAAATATTTAAGTTCTGAGCAGCCCTATCATCTGACCATTTGTTGCTTTAGGGAGATTTGAGTTTGGAGTAGATATTTTATCTTCTGTAATATATCAGGTGGAGTTCAAAGCAGCAGCCCAAACAGAAGGCATGTCATTGAAGTTTGCTTTCCACTAAAGCTCACAGACACTGGATAACAAACTATTCTCTAAATTCCTTTGTGATGTATTGTGAAGTAATAATTCTTTTCCTTAGTGTTTGTAAGACCCTTGAAGGTTTAAAATACTACTCAGCAATCAGTGAAACCAGGGAGGCTAGATCATAGTGCAAGTATATAGGCTACTTTTAACAAGGATTTTGACCAAGAAAACGAAAACTTTAGGATTTAGTTTGTCTGAAGAAATGGTGCCAGGAGGGTCACATCCTATCCTTGTTATGTTTCAAGTATCAACATTCATATTTTGGACCACTGCTTTCTTAATATTGAGCCCAAGCTAACAAGGAACCCTTCACTTTAAGGGACACCTCTGACCACCTAGGACCTGGGAGATGAACCCAGGTTGGATTAAGTGTAGCTGATTTTGGTCTGATTGGAAGTCTCTTTCCAGGGTGGAGACACTTAAATCAAGGCAATTTCAAATTATTGATTTAAGTCAGGTTGAAGGTTTGTAAAACTAACTTGAAAGTTTGTGTTATTGCAAATTGAGAATAACATTTGTAATGACGTAAATTATGCTGTTTTTAAATGCTGATCAAGTATCTTATTTGAATGTTATGAAACTGCTATAGACAAAAAACAGAATATTTAAAACTAGTATCTGAAAGCTTGTGCTGTTGCACAGGTGTAATTTGTAAAGTAATGTGTAAAAAATTTAAAACAGCTGAAAATGGCTGAGAACTTAAAAATTTGAGAGTAACAGACTGTGAATCTCAGTGGTGTTTGAACCTGGTGATATTCTAAAGAAAGAGCTCTCAACCATGCTTGTAGCTGTTACAATTGCTTCACACTGACCCAACAGACATTCTAGGCTTCAGAGTGATGTTTGGTGGTGTGTGTGCTGGTTATGTTATTGGGTGGATCACAGAATAATAGGACTGGAAGGCACCTCGAGAGGTCATCTAGTCCAGTCCCCTGCACTCATGGCAGGACTATTGTCTAGACCAGGGGTGGCCAACCTGTGGCTCCGGAGCCATATGCGGCTCTTCAGAAGTTAATATGTGGCTCCTTGTCTAGGCACCGACTCTGGAGCTGGAGCTACAGGTGCCAACTTTCCAGTGTGCTGGGGGGGTGCTCACTGCTCAACCCCTGGCTCTGCCACAGGCCCTGCCCCCACTCCACCCCTTTCCACTCCCTCCCGTGAGCCTGCTGTGCCCTCGCTCCACCTCTCCCCCTAGAGCCTCGTGCATGCCATGAAACAGCTGATTGGGAGGTGCGGGGAGAGAGGGGGAGGCGCTGATCGGCGGGGCTGCAGGTGGGTGGGAGGTGCTGGGAGTGGCAGGGAGAAGCTGATGGGGGGCTGCTGATGTATTTCTGTGGCTCTTTGGCAATGTACATTGGTAAATTCTGGCTCCTTCTCAGACTCCGGTTGGCCACCCCTGTTCTAGACCATCCCTGACAGGGGTTTGTCTAACCTGCTCTTAAAAAATCTCCAATGATGTAGATTTCACAACCTCTCTAGGCAATTTATTTCAGTGCTTAACCACCCTGACAGTCAGGAGGTTTTTTCCTAATGTCCAACTGAAACCTCCATTGCTGCAATTTAAGCCCATTGCTTCTTGTCCTGTCCTCAGAAGTTAAGGAGAACAATTTTTCACCCTCCTCCTTGTTGCAACTTTTTAGGTACTTGAAAACTGTGTCCCCTCTGTCTTCTCTTCTCCAGACTAAACAAACCCATTTTTTTCAATCTTCCCTCATAGGTCATGCTTTCTAGACCTTTAATCATTTTTGTTGCTCTTCTCTGGACTTTCTCCAATTTGTCCACATCTTTCCTGAAATGTGGTGCTCAGAACTGGACACAAGACTCCCAGTTGAGGCCTAATCAGCGTGGAGTAGAGCGGAAGAACTACTTCTCGTGTCTTGCTTACAACGTTCCCGCTAATGCATCCCAGAATGATGTTCGCTTTTTTTGCAACATGGGGTGGAAGTTGTTGAAATCCAGGTGGAATTCTTCAAGGGCCTCCTTCCTTTGGGTCCATATGATGAAGATGTCATCAGTGTAATGCAAGTAGAGGAGGGGCGTTAGGGGACGAGAGCTGAGGAAGCGTTGTTCTAAGTCAGCCATAAAAATGTTGGCATACTGTGGGGCCATGCGGGTACCCATAGCAGTGCAGCTGACTTGAAGGTATAAGTTGTCCCCAAATCTGACATGGTTGTGGGTGAGGACAAAGTCACAAAGCTCAGCCACCAGGTGTGCCGTGGCCTCATCAGGGATACTGTTCCTGACGGCTTATAGTCCATCCTCATGTGGAATATTGGTGTAAAGAGCTTCTACATTCATGGTGGCCAGGATGGTGTTTTCAATGCATCACCAATGCATTGTAGCTTCCTCAGGAAGTCGGTGGTGAATCGAAGATAACTAGGAGCGCTGGTAGCGTAGGGTCTGAGGAGAGAGTCCAAATAGCCATATAATCCTGCTGTAAGAGTGCTGATGCCTGAGATGGTGGGGCATCGAGGGCTTCCAGATTTATGGATCTTGGATAGCAGATAGAATACCCCTGGTTGGGGCTCTGGGGGTGTGTCTGTGTAGATTTGTTTCCGTGCTGTAGGAGGGAGTTTCTTGAGCAGCTGGTGTAGATTCTTTTGGTATTCCTCAGTGGTACTCCTCCCTTCTGTTCAGGTGTTAGTATAATAATGCCTGCATCTGTAATTTTCACTCCATGCATCCGATGAAGTGGGTTCAAGTCCACGAAAGCTTATGCCCAAATAAATCTGTTAGTCTTTAAGGTGCCACCGGACTCCTTGTTGTTTTTGTGGATACAGACTAACACGGCTACCCCCTGAAATTTAATTAAACACTTTTTTTTTTTTTTTTAAACAAGCGTCATCAGCATGGAAGCATGTCCTCTAGAATGGTGGCCGAAGCATGAAGGGGCATATGAATGTTTAGCATATCTGGCACATAAATATCTTTCAACACCAGCTATAAAAGTGCCATGTGAATGCCTGTTCTCACTTTCAGGTGACGGTGTAAATAAGCAAGCAGCAGTATCTCCCATAAATGTAAACAAACTTCTTTGTCTTAGTGATTGGCTGAACAAGTAGTTGGACCGAGTGCACTTTAGAGCCTACAAGTTTTACATTGTTTTGTTTTTGAGTGCAGTTATGTATTTTTATACATAATTCTACATTTATAAGTTACATTTTCATGATAAAGAGATTGCACTACAGTACTTGTATGAGGTGAACTGAAAAATACTATTTCTTTATCATTTTTACAGTGCAAATATTTGTAATAAAAAATAATATAAAGTGAGCACTATACACTTCAGTGAGCTACAGCTCACTTCATCGGATGCACACGAAAGCTTATGCTCAAATAAATTTGTTAGTCTCTAAGGTGCCACAAGTCCTCCTTTTCTTTTTGCGGATACAGACTGACACGGCTGCTACTATACACTTTGTATTCTGTGTTGTAATAGAAATCAATATATTTGAAAATGTAGAAAAACATCCAAAAATATTTAATACATTTCAATTGGTATTCTATTGTTTAACGGTGCAATTAATTGCAATTACTTTTTTTATTTTTCGCTTGAGTTAACTGCAGTTAATTAACAGCCCTAGTTTATATTCATCCTTTGTAACTTGACCTAGTTTCTAATTTTTGTAGGACTCTTTTTTCAGTTTCAGATCATTGAAGATCTCCCGGTTAAACCAGGGTGGTCGCTTGCCATACTTCCTTTGTTCTTGCACCCTTAATAATGTCTCTTTGAAAAACTGTCAACTGTCTTCAATTGTTTTTCCCCTTAGACTTGCTTCCCATGAGTTCTTACCTACCAACTCCGAGTTTGCTGAAGTCTGCCATCTTGAAATCTATTGTCTTTATTTTGCTGTTCTCCCTCCTACCATTCCTTAAAATCATGAATTCTACCATTTCATGATCACTTTCACCCAAAGGATGGTTGTGTTGATCTGTGTCTAGGGAATTGTGCTGGAAGAGTTGTCTAGATAGCAAATAAGTGTGAGCTGAAGTCAGGGGCTGTGTGTGTGTTTGGGGTTATTGTGTATGTTGGTTGTGGTGTTTGGATCATTTTGTGTGTGCGCCTGCGGGGTTGTGCTGGGGGATTGTTGTTTTGTGTAGGTGACGGGCCAATTAATCCATCATCTGTGTAGTCTCCCTTATACAATCAATTAAATTGTTACATGCAAATTAGGTGTAGAGTAAGAGTGGTGATTTGTTATTATCTCTGATATAATGGTCTAGGACTCTTCGAATGGCAGAGGTACATGCTTTACTGTAGCCGTACACTGCACATGTAATTGATAAAGTCAAAATGGCTGAACTTAAAAATTTGGTAGTAACAAACCACAAAACCCAGTGATGATTGAACCTAGTGGTATACTGAACACAGAGTCCCCAGCCATGCTAGTAGCTGTTTCCATCACATCATGCTGACTCAGCAGTCATTCTAGGCTTCAGAATAACAATCTTGAAATCATTTTAAGTAGATGAAGGTCCCAGTCCAGCAAACACTTAGATTCATAGATTCCAAGGCCAGAGGAATCATTGTGGTCTTCTAGTCTGACCTTCGGTATAACACAGGGCCGAGAACTTCCCCAATATAATTTCTAGAGCAGATCTTTAAGAAAAACATCCAATCTTAATTTAAAAACTGTCAGTGAGAGAGAATCTACCATGACCCTTCATAAGTTGTTCCAATGGTTAATTACTCTCACAATGAAAAATTTACTCCTTATTTACAGTCTGAATTTGTCCAGCTTCAACTTCCAGCCGTTGGACCATGTTATACCTTTGTTTGCTAGATTCAGGAGCCCCATAACCTTCTCTTTGTTAAGCTAAATAGATTGAGCTTCTGGAGTTTCACAATTAAGGCATGTTTTCAAATTCTTAATCGTTCTTATGGCTCTTCTCTGAACCCTTTCCAATTTATCATCATCCTTCTTGAATTGTGGACACCAGAACTGGACGTAGTATTCCAGCAGTGGTCACACTACTGCCAAATACAGAGGTAAAATAACCTCTCTGTTCCTACTGGAGGTTCCCCTGTTTATGTATCTAAGGATCGCATTAGCCCCTTAGGCCACAGGGTCGCACTGGGACCCCATTATCCACCATCACCCCCAAATCTTTTTAGCGTCACCACTTCCTAGGATAGAGCCCCCATCATTGAAGAATGGCCTACGTTCTTTATTCCTAGATGTATACATTCACATTTACCGATATTAAAATGCATATTGTTTGCGGGAACCCAGTTTACCAGGTGGTCCAGATCGCTCTTGTCCTCTTCGTTATTTACCACTTCCCCCAACTTTTTTCATCTGCAAACTTTGTCAATGATGATTTTGTGTTCTTTCTGATCATTGATAAAAATGTGAAATAGCATAGGGCCAAGAACAGAACCCTGCCCTATGCTATTTCAAGCCAAGAACTGAACCCACTAGAAACACACCCACTCAGTGGCGATTCCCTGTTTACAATTACATTTTGAGATCTATCAGCCATTTTTTAATCCATTTAACTTAAGCAAAAAGAAAAGGAGTACTTGTGGCACCTTAGAGACTAACCAATTTATTTGAGCATGAGCTTTCGTGAGCTACAGCTCACTTCATCAGATGTATACCGTGGAAACTGCAGCAGACTTTATATACACACAGAGAATATGAAACAATACCTCCTCCCACCCCACTGTCCTGCTGGTAATAGCTTATCTAAAGTGATCAACAGGTGGGCCATTTCCAGCACAAATCCAGGTTTTCTCACCCTCCACCCCCCCACACAAATTCACTCTCCTGCTGGTAATAGCTCATCTAAACTGACCACTCTCCAAGTTTAAATCCAAGTTAAACCAGAACATCTGGGGGGGGGGAGGGTAGGAAAAAACAAGAGGAAACAGGCTACCTTGCATAATGACTTAGCCACTCCCAGTCTCTATTTAAGCCTAAATTAATAGTATCCAATTTGCAAATGAATTCCAATTCAGCAGTTTCTCGCTGGAGTCTGGATTTGAAGTTTTTTTGTTTTAAGATAGCGACCTTCATGTCTGTGATTGCGTGACCAGAGAGATTGAAGTGTTCTCCGACTGGTTTATGAATGTTATAATTCTTGACATCTGATTTGTGTCCATTTATTCTTTTACGTAGAGACTGTCCAGTTTGACCAATGTACATGGCAGAGGGGCATTGCTGGCACATGATGGCATATATCACATTGGTGGATGTGCAGGTGAACGAGCCTCTGATAGTGTGGCTGATGTTATTAGGCCCTGTGATGGTGTCCCCTGAATAGATATGTGGGCACAATTGGCAACGGGCTTTGTTGCAAGGATAAGTTCCTGGGTTAGTGGTTCTGTTGTGTGGTATGTGGTTGTTGGTGAGTATTTGCTTCAGGTTGCGGGGCTGTCTGTAGGCAAGGACTGGCCTGTCTCCCAAGACTTGTGAGAGTGTTGGGTCATCCTTTAGGATAGGTTGTAGATCCTTAATAATGCGTTGGAGGGGTTTTAGTTGGGGGCTGAAGGTGACGGCTAGTGGCGTTCTGTTATTTTCTTTGTTAGGCCTGTCCTGTAGTAGGTAACTTCTGGGAACTCTTCTGGCTCTATCAATCTGTTTCTTTACTTCTGCAGGTGGGTATTGTAGTTGTAAGAAAGCTTGACAGAGATCTTGTAGGTGTTTGTCTCTGTCTGAGGGGTTGGAGCAAATGCGGTCACCTTCAGCCCCCAACTAAAACCCCTCCAACGCATTATTAAGGATCTACAACCTAGCCTGGGTAAACAGACTTGTGATAGCTCAGCTTGAGCTAGTGTGCTAAAAATAGCCGCATGGTGGTTGAAGCGCCAGCAGAGGCTTGGGCTAGCCACCTGAGCTTGGACCTAAGGGAGCGGATGAATTCTAGGTCGGGTGGCTACCCCAAGCTTCTGTTGGTGCTGCAATGTTTGCACTAGCTTGAGTCAAGCTTGCATGAGTCTGTCTACCCTGGCTGGGAGGCATGCTCTCGCTGCAGTGTAGATGTAGCCAAAGAAACTGACGGCAGCAGGTTGAACAACACACATCTGTTCTATAACGTTAGTAAATCTCATTGGGTTGGTCTAGTCCTCTGTGTGGTAATGACTTAGTACATGTGCAGCTTCATAGAATCTCAGGGTTGGAAGGGACCTCAGGAGATCATCTAGTCCAACCCCCTGCTCAAAGCAGGGCCAATCCCCGATTTTTGCCCCAGATCCCTAAATGGCCCCCTCAAGGATTGAACTCAGAATCCTGGGTTTAGCAGCCCAGTGCTCAAACCACTGAGCTATCCCTCCCCCTAGGGCTGAGTCTGTCATGTTTCTGTTGAATACAGATTTGTCCTGCCTGCACCATTACTGAAAGCATGACTGATATTCTGCAAACCAGGTTTTAATCATGTTTTTTAATAATTGTACTGAAAACAGCTTTACCCCATCTATTTTAGGGCTCCTACCAAGTCAGCTGTATCAGCACTGTAATTAGAACTGGTTGGGAATTTTTTTGATGAAACACTTTACATTTGAGAATGGCAAGTTTTTGAAACTGAACCTGTTTGTTGGGAAAGGATAGATTTTTCACAAATTTATAGTTTCAAAAACTTTTTTGGGGAGAAAAGTTAAAGGTCAAAAATTAAATGTTTCATTTGACCCAAACATCATCTCCCCTACTCCCCCCATTTTTTAATTTTCAAGAAGTGAAAATTTTCAGAATCTCCACACTTTTCCCAGGTTGGGAAAACGGTTTCCCATTCAGCTCTAGTTGGAATTAGTGGTGATTTGTAAATTTTCGTCGTTGTAGACCGAGCCAAGCTGTTCAGCTCTTTCCAGCACTAGCTGAGCGGTGATGGTGGTGGGGGGAGGGACCCTTTGCTTACAACCATTTCCAGGAAGTTGACCCATTGCGAGCTGGGGTGAAGCAGCAGTAGCGTTGATTAATATGAGGCATATCTGTCCAAGCAACAAGCCTGGGAACTGAACCAAAGTGCAAGAAGATTTTACTGGACTTTAGACTTTTTTGTCACAGTAAAAGTTACCCGTACCTCAATTGTGTATAGTGGTAAAATGTGAATAATGGCAAAATGTTCAGTGGGAAAGCAGTGCTAGGCAGGATAAAATGGTTTTAAACACCATTATATTTCTATAATGGTAATAAAACATGTCTGCTGACATATTTTGTGAGAGTCAGTTCATTTAAAGAAATCAACAGCAGTTTTCACTGTTGCGTAACTTGCCTAACTTGTAAATTGAAAGTTAAATTTAAGAACTCAGTGCAGTGGATTAGCTAAGAAACACATCAGCTGGAAATGTGAAATGGATTTTTAGTTAACTTGTTTTAACTGTCTTGATGGTCACTATTTTTGTCTCATTGAATAATAAAGTGGAATCCATCAGTGGGAGATTGCTTTCCTGTTTGTTGTTCGGATTCAGAATCTCATTCTTCAGTTTTTGTGACTTACTGATGTTATGGAATACACATTATTATAATTCTACCTCTGCAGTCCCAGGTAATGCCAATCCTGGAGACTGATGCCATAACAGGAGCTGTTAATATGTGAATTAGTTGCCAGTGATACTAATGATCTTTACCACACTGTAGCTGTTCTATTTTTAATTGTAAGCCATCATAGCTACTTCCAAGAAGAAGATTGGAAAATATCCCCTGGACATGCTGTTTGGGAGAAAAACATTTTCAGCTAAGTTAACAGTTTGAGAGGGAGCCAGTTCCAGGGAGAATGGTGAAGAAGGGAAGCAGAGGAAGACAAATAATGCTTTTTAAAAGCAGCATTTCCACAGCAGGCTCCGTTTGTCACACAGTCCATGGAAAGATGAGACTGGAAGCAGCATTTTGACCACGTTATCACGTAGACTGGGATAATCCCTGAATTTGCCCTGTGTGTTTTCCTACCCCATGTGTTGGTCCTGTACCACTTTGATTCTTGTGTTTGAATCCAGGTTAGAATTACCAGATTTATAATCATAAGGGCCCTTTTAAACCCATGGAAGTGATTATTTTATTAGAGAAGTATGTTTGATATGACTTTTAACTTGAACAGCTGCACGTGATAATTAAACAAATAAAGTTCCTGCATCTGTTGGTGTTTTTTCCTTTCTTGCCAGAACATGAACTGTAGAAAAGTCATCTTAGATTAATCCCTTAAACCTTTTTAGTACTGAATGGGGCTAGATTTCAGAGTCCAAGATTTCTGTTTGCAACAGTGACATTTCCTGCTTCTCTCACTCTTTGTCTATATTCCCTCAACACTGTTTTAGCATGACCACCTTGCAAAATAATAGAATTCAGCCTCCAAAACCATTAAAACCTTAGGATCACTTCTGAAATGGGGATCACTTTGGTTGTGATTTTTTGAAACATGGGACTGCACTAAGAGTGCCACAAATATTTTAGATACACCACTGAACATTCTACAGCTAGTAATCATTTTCAGTCCCCATTGACTGGGTTAGAACAGACAACCTATTATAGAGGCAAAGCACTCCATATCCCATTAGCAATCACCTGAGCCAGTCAGTTCCACCCTTCCCCTAACTACCCAGTTGATAAGCAAGGAGTGATAGGTGCAGAACTGTTGTATGTCTCCTGTTTCTCACACATCTGGCATAAGAAACCATTTCTCAAGCTGCAGTGACCGATCCCTGTCCAGGCTGACAATTTCAGAACGAAGGAGGCTCCCCTGATCTAGTATGCAAGCTACAGGATTCTCTGTATTCCCCCCCAAAGGAACAGGATACATCATTGCAGTCAGAGGACTAATTTCCTGTATTGTTAAAGATAAAAAGATTTTCGTTTTCTACTGTTGAACAGTTGTATATAAAAATGAATTATAAAATTCTTTCTAACTAGTTTTACCCTTCCTTTAGCTCTCCATAAACCCATTATTCCCACATGTATTGCCATTTGGTGTCAGCACCCTGAATGCTGTAATGATCTTCAGAGTGTTCTTATGGGACCTGAGGTCTACACGTAAGACTTAGATTAGCCTGTTTCTCAGCAGTGTGAAATATTCACACCCCGTGAGAATCAGTTAAACTAACCTAAGCCCCAATATAGACTCTGCTAGGTTGATGGAAAAATTCTTCTGTTGACCTGGCTACTACCTCTCGAGGGGATGGATTAACTACAGTGATGGAAAAATCCCTTCCATTGCTATAGCAAGTGTCTAAACTATGACACTACAGTGACAGCATCGTAGCTGTGCTGATGGAGGATCTAGTGTAGACATTAGTAGAGTTCTGTTTGCATTACAGTAGTTAAACTTGTGTCGGTCCTCTAATGTCAAACCTGGATTATTGGGGTTTATAAACAGTCTGCAAACTCTCTCCAGCCTGAAACGTGGCACACAATATTTCAGGCCGGGAGCAAAGAAGGTGTGAGTTACAGAAGTGAGAGTGTGATAAATGTGAATTGATTTTATTGCTTCTCTTAAAGGGTATTCTTTTGCAGGCCTTCAGTCCTTAATACATGAGGCCTCAAATTCATCCTTAGTTTATTTCCCTGACTTCAGAAGTTATTCCAGGAATGACTTTGACCAGTCTCTTTGGGGATTTCAGAGCA